GGTAGCGACGCCACAGGCGACGTCACCGTGATGTCCCGCGTTAGGCCAGTGCCCTGCCCAGATGCCCTGTAGGCAGTGGCACCGCTGGGCAGGCCTCGTGCTGTGCGACCTGCGCTTGGGTGCCGCGGGGCCTGGTCAGGACATCCCGCGCTCCCCACAGAGTGTCTTTGCTCAGAATGCTCAGCTCTGCCCGGTCTCATCAGCTGCAGTCGGGGGCAAAATCTCACTCTCTAGCCGAGCCTTCCGCAGACGTTTCTCAGTGCAACCTCCTGTTGCAGCTCTGAGTTACTTCCAAACTTGCAGAAGGGTCAGTAAGATCTAAAAAGGCGCCGTTTAGCACCATCTCCTTGTAATTCTGTCGTCTTCTGCAGGATTGCTTGGATGATGCAGTTTTAATGTCATCAGGATACGCTCAAAGCAACACATCTAAAAATAACGGTTGTGTAACCATCCAGTCGTGGAAAAACAGGCCTGAAGGGAACCCAAGGCCGCGTTGTCCGTCAGTCGACCCGAAGGCAGCGTCAGTGGGGACAAATGTCTTAGTTTGTTCTCAGAACCTCCAGGGAGGTTCCTCAGCCTGTGTGGTCTGTGGCAGTGCTGCACTAGCTTTTCTTCACATCACTTTTTCCTGAATTATTGGTGTAATTTAAGCTGGTGTGTTTATTTTTCCTATCTGCCATGAACATGGAGATCAGAGTATCCCTTTTTAGCAGCCTCTTAGATATTTTAACTCTGTTATCTCTGCCTTATCTTCTCCAGACTTAACAACCCTATTTCTTGTAATCTTTCCTCGTATGTCATGTTTTCTAAATCTCTGATCATTCTCATTGCTCTCCCTTGGACTCTTACAGTTTGTTCACATGTTCTTTGCAGTGCAGTGATCAAAACCTGGAAGCAGTACTTCTGCTGCGGCCTTTCTGGGGATGAGAGAATGAAAAGATTCTCCTAGGCTCCGCTGTTTGCCCGGGACAAGAATTTTTTACAGCACATGACACTTGTGTTCTTCTCATGATCTACTAAAGCTCCAGATTTTACTCTTTTTTTTCATGCAGAACTGATACCTGATCAGTTAGTACATTTTTTTGTGAATAAAAAAAATCTTCATTTTAATTGATCCTTCAGACCATACTGCTTTCATGAGTGTACAGTGAAAACTAAAGATACTTTTTTATCTTTGTTGAGAGGAGTATTTTAGGCTACAAACATTTACATCTTACACTGATAGCTACTTAGATTTGGGAAAAAGCTTTGGCTAGTTCACTGCCGACTTTTCTGTTGCTTTCCAAGCTTTTTGTCCTAACAGACCATCTAGGTGAGAAGATGGGGATTTAGCTATTGTTGAAGTCTGGCAGTGTAATGGCTTTACTGATCGCTCTGTACCTCCTATTCAAGATTTAGTGCAGAGCTTTCAGTTGTCTTTGCTGAGGAACAAAGGTCTGTGGATCCCACGTGGCTTTTTCACAGCTATGGAGAGATTACTGAAGTGCAACTCTGCCAGTTTGGTTTTGGAGACCCATACACTCCTGCTGTTAGAGAACTTTCCAAAGAAGTGTTGTGTTTCTGTTTATTCCATACGTTTTCTTTTTTTCTTTGCTCCTGAATCAGTGACAGGAAACATTAAGCATGTTTGACACTGCGTTCTGTGTACTCGTTTGCATGTCTTTGCAGCCCTTGTAGCCCACGTAGGAGAGTAGATGCACTGACTAATAGATTTTTCTGTGCCTCTTATTAGTCTTCTGGGCGATTCAGATGGTTCGCCCTGTCATTGTTTGTATGATTGATGATGACAAGTGAGTTGATCAAAGACTCAGCAAATCGTAACACAGAGACAAAATCATTACTTAGAAACCGTTGTACTTGCAGTTTTCAGATGTCAATCAAAGTGACTTAGAGATTAGTTAGAATTGCAGCACTGCAAAAAAAATCAGTCTGAGAAATCTTTGATTGAAATAATAACTATTTGATTGAAATATTGAAATAATAACTTTTACTGAAATAATAAATGCTCTTTGCTCTCTGGAGTAGCTCACTATTATAAATGCG